AATAGACACATATTCATCAGTCCGGGAAGTTGGCCTTAACACTGGCTGTATGTATCAGCCATCTCGCTATTGTGTGCTAAGAGCACGCTCACTAGGGCACTCCCAACATAGTGATACTGCATACTATTTGCCATCATTTACATGCATACTAACCAAACCTACTCCAGGAGCAGCCATGCTGAAACTGAGCAGATCCTAATTGCAAACTACCCGGACCAGACTACAGACACCACAAAAAACCTGTTCCTGAAAACCAGGGGAGAACAAAATGTATAATGTCTGCCTAAAAGAACAGTGGCTCAGTGTCTGTGAAGGTTCTCATTCATCCAGGTCATGGTATATCTGTAAAAAATAAGTCAAGGCAACTGGACTTGCCAGTTGCCTTGACTTATTTTTTACAGATATAGTGGCTCAGTGGTTAGCATTTCTGTCCTGCAGCACTGGGGTCCTTGGTTTGCATCTAGGACACAATCTTCATGGAGTTTGCATGTTCTCCCTGTGCTTGGGTGGGTTTCCTCCCACACTCCATAGACATGTTGGTAATTGGTCTACATTGGCCCTCGTATGTGTATATAGGTGTTGGAAATACAACAGCATATACTGATAATATATATTTTCAGCTGTAGATGGCGCTGTAGTGCAATGTTAGTTTTCTATATGCATGCTTATCTATGATACACAGGAAGTTTTCCTATCTGTATGTTTCCTTTACAAAGCTGTATTCTGATGTAATATTCTTCTAAGCAAGTCTAACTTAATTCAGAATTCGTCAAGATCTCAGTGCTTCATCTAAACACATAACATAAGTATCACCCTAACCGTCCCCTCCGCTCATCCATTGACCTCCGGCTTTCCAGCTCCCTTGTCCACTGCTCCCATACTCGCCCCCAGGACTTCTCTAGAGTCTCTCCCATCCTCTGGAACTCTTTACCCCAACCTGTCCATCTATATCCCACCTTGACTACCTTCAGGCGTTATCTAAAGACTAATCTCTTCAAGGAAGCCTATCCCACCTCAACCTAACCACTGAACCTTCACATTCTCAAATAATTCATCCACACACAGCTACCTCCTCATGTATCATTTCCCCTCCTCTTTTAGATTGTAAGCCCTCAGGGGCAGGGCCCTCCTTACCATCTTGTCTTGAATTGTATTGTAATTGTAATGTCTTCCTTATATTGTAAAGCGCTGCGCAAACTGTTGGCGCTATATAAATCCTGTATAATAATAATAATAATAACCAACAAGAGGGGCCTTAGATGTTGAGCTCGGGGACTGCTGTAAATGTGCAATATGTAAAGTGCTACATAAGACGTCAGCACTATGGGTCATGGTTACCGAGAAACGGACGGCCAAGCTATAGGGGACAATGTCCAAATTTCGAACATGGACGGGAGGAACAGTCTGCAGGAACCAGAGCATTGCACCAACGATCTGCTGACTGCAGTTCCAATGCCTTACTGGCTCCAATGCAAAATAAAAACTGGATACACATTTTTTCTTTCATGAAAAAGTTTGTATTTATAATTTTTTGCAAAAGTTGTAATGTCCCTTTAAATATCAGCTGTGATTGTCCTTTATAAAGATAAATATTTCTATACAGGTACGGCAGCATTTGTATTGAGTTTCTGTTTATTCTCTCCACAGGGGGCTGAAAATGCCATGTCACAAAAGACTGTCCCTTGCCTCGGGCACTCTCCTCCTTGTGAGGTAGAAAGAAGGGGGGCATCACCATACTAAATTCCAATACTGTAATCTGATTGGATAAAGCCACCCCTCCTATGTGTTTATAAGCCCCTACAGCCCACAATCTGTTAAACTGCAGCAAGTGACTGAGCCTTAGAAGACATGGTACCTGCAGCTTCATTCCTCCTCATCTCAGCTTCCTTCTGGTCCCTAGGACTAACACGGCCAGTAACGGTAAGTGTCGCACCATTGTGTGTCCTTTACTTTATTTTTAGACTATGGGGATGATTGTCAATGAGGATTTGTTCAATTTGTTTTTACACCTTGTATGGTGCTCACATACGCAGCAATTTGTGATTGATCTAGGTAAAGGGGAATGCAAACAAGTGATTGATCATTGATTAAAATATTGACTGATAGATTTGTCATTGATTGGAATTCCTTTTATTTTTCCGCACTATACCTTTGATTGACATTGTTTATTGCTAAAAAAAAGCGCTATTCCTGATAAATCTTCCAGGCACCTTGGCACTCCAGCTGCAGCGCAAATCCCAACATGTCTCTGGCTCTGGGAGTCATGCCTATGGCTGTCGGGGTCTTGCAATGCGTCATGGGACTTGTAGTTCCACAACAGCTGGAGTGCCGAGGTTGCCTACCCCTGGCATAGTGTAAGGGTCTGCCTGATTAAATACAAATACATTGGATCATTTGGCTCTTTATGATGTTTAGTGTAAAGTGGGAAGAAGGACAAACATAGAGTTGTAGAGAGACACGATTTGTCATTGCAGTATCCACACTAATGCCTATTATTTTCTTGTAGAATGTCCAGCCGGATACCAGTATTGGTAAGCAATATATGAAATGATAATACTCATATTGAAAATAGACGTTTATACTGAAACCTTTGTTCTGGATGCAAACATATGTAGCCCTGTTTCGGGGGGGTCACGTGAGATGACCGTCTCCGATCAGCTACCGCTGCCAACCTGTGGGTAACTTAGAAGTCCTGAGCCTCCGCTAAGTGGGAGTCAAGGGCTGTAATCAATTGGTAATGGAAGTGCCTCCACCCAACTGGGCCTTGTGGTGTTCAAGTGGGACCCCCAGATGAGATAACCTTGTCCCCAGGTGTATTTACTCACGTGTGTTCTCTTGCAGTAGTAAGCAGATCCATGGACTCCAGTCCATGGATGCCTTTTAAACATTTATTTTAGAACTTGGAATAGAAGATGTAGATAGATATGCTCGGAAATGCTGGTAATAGAATAGTAGCACTTCTTACTAGGCGTACAGATCCTAGTGGAAGGTCCATCTTCTCCCTCTCAATAGGCCAGTGAATGGAAGTGTCTCCATTCCCACAGAGGTTCCAGTGTATACTCTGCTTCAGGACAAGCTGTAGCCTGGACCAGTGGAGGTTCCTGTGGTGACTCCAGTGTCTCATGACCTCTGTTAACATGGGTTAGGTCCATGTAGTGCACATGTGTCAAACTCAAGGCCCAGGGGCCGAATCCGGCCCACCAGGCCATTTCCTAGACTTCTACTTTCAGATCTAGGTATTAAGTTATTACTAAAACCAGTGATAATCGAATGCAGAGGCAATTATGATAAAGATTAGATACATTTATATAGTCTTATAGGCCCTTTGAGGGCAACCATAATGTTGATGTGGCCCATGATTAAATTGAGTTTGACACCCCCTGCTGTAGTAGATCCAGCAGAATCAGCTAGCACATGGAATTCCATGAGGGCCTAGCCCTCAGACTTGGGCAGCCGCCCAGCACCTGAGCACCAACCTCCCAACAGGGCAGTGGCAGAGAAACAACTCAGCCCCAGTTCTGAGCATGCTCATGAGTTTTGCTATAGACAATCCCTCCTACTATGATGTTGACTGCACTGATTGGCTATCACAGAACCTCTGTCAAATGATACCACTCCAGCACAGTACTCTGCCACAACAAAGCCTGGTGGATGAGGCACATAGGTGACTCATGAGCACACCCTACTGGCGGAAAGTAATAACTAATTTGAAAACCCAAATAACACTGTTCTATTACAGGGGGTGTTAGGAGGTAGACCCCTACACATGTTAATAGTCATTACAATATTTATATAGAAAAGTTATTAAAACTCTTTATTCGAGTAGGACAGCATGCGTTTTGCACTTGCAGCGCAAGGGTCCTGGGTTTGAGAATGTACTTTTTCCCTTTGTTAGTCTTTCTTTAGTTACTTTTTCCACAACCCAAAAACATACCGCAAGGCTGTAATCAGACTTAGTGACACTAATCTCAGGAGTTAAATCTTTAAAAAAAATTCAAGTACCTTCACTATTAACAAAAATCTATCTTATATGTGTATCACTCGGCTGTAGATCCTCAAATCATCTGTGAATTGGTGTTAACACTGTCCTGCCTCCTGGAGGGGGACTACTTTTGTTCCCCATGTTCCCTGTGTGTGTTGTAAAGTAATCACCGCTCCAAGCTCACTCCCGTGATGGACTACAATCTCACGTTTGGTTTACTTATTTGTATTGAGATTCTAGTTCATCATGGGAGCGAGCTTGGAGCGGTGACTACTTTACAAAACTTCCTTGCTCATGTGACCATTCTCACAGAACTACAAGTCAATATCTGAACAATGTAACATTATCATTGCTTGCTGGAAGCAATGCATGATGGGATATTTACAGGGTTATTCACAAAAGGGTGAAGAGTTTGGAGAAGGTCGGAGAAGTGAACAATCTAGGACAACATAGCTGAACTGGAAAAATTCTCCAATTCAGCTCACTTTCCAGATCAGCGATGTTGTCCTAGATTGTTCACTTCTCCTGCCTGCTCCAAACTCTTCATACTTTGGTGCATAACCCTGTAAGTCTTGAGAAATGGAGATTGCATCACATGAAGCAGCAGGGAAAGAGATGCAAAGCACACCAGGAGTCCAGGAAGTTGTTGAAAGTGATGGACAGACGGAAGGCAGCACTCACTACATAAAAGTAAGCTTTGATTGCATTATCAGACACATCTCTGGTATGTATTCCTATTACAATGCTGATGTTACAACAGGAGAGGATATGCTGGGACTTTACAGCTCCTTCAAAGGTAAGAGATTTGTATATTGAATTATAAGGGATACAGTAAATTATTGATATTATAGTGGATCTGCTTGGACAGATTACAGGATCTACTATTCCCTATTTGCAGCAACTTCCAGAGCTGTTTCCCTTCCTTTCGTACATTCCCTTGCCCTTGTACATGGAAGTTACCTATAGACATAAGAGAAGAGTTAACTATAGAAAAGTCAGAAAATGTTTTTCTTAACAGGTGCTGAGGATACTACCTCCAATGACGATGACATGACCATTTCTGATATAATACTGCAAGCAAATGAAGGTAATGTCATGATTATTCTCTGACCTTCTGCACAAAAAAGCAACCATGCAATGTCTATGTCATATCTTATCCATGTATTGGGCTGACTAGGAAGACCTATGCCATTATAGTGAGAAGGTGTTTCATTGACCACATCCGAGTTAACATTGACAAGTTCATGTATTTAATATAACCCCCACCCCAGTCCCCATCCCTAGCCTGCTAAGCTACCTTAAACTGAAACACCAGCCCCCCTAGGTGCATGCTTATCTTCTCCATGTTGTCTACATCCTGCCAAGTAACATCTAATGCCTGGCTGCCCACAAAATATTCCACAGACTTCCAGGTACCCAGGGGCAAAGTCCACACCAGGTACTGGCCACTTAGGGTTCTGCTGCCTAGGCCATTCGATCTTTTGCCGCTGCCTATCCACTGATTTTTGCACCACCTTTAAAGACCACAAATAATGCCTGCAGCCCAGCCTAGGTCTTCCCCACAAGCCTCTCACAGCCCTGGTATGCAGTGACACATCATGGTGAGCTGTCGGGGCAAGGGGGCGTGCGAGTAAGGAGTCAGTCAATGCTTTGACTTCACCAGTACCTGGTCAATGGTTCAACTTCACCAGCACCTGGTCAATGGTTTAACTTCACCAGCACCTGGTCAATGGTTCAACTTCACCAGTACCTGGTCAATGGTTTAACCTCACCAGTACTTGGTCAATGGTTTAACTTCACCAGCACCCGGCCAATGGTTTAACTTCACCAGAACCTGGTCAATGGTTGAACTTCATCTCAGACTTAGACCCTGTATGGACAAGAGTCAAAATGGGCAACCAAACCCAGGTGGCCAAAACCGGCTGAGTGTCCAACTCCAGGGACCAAAACCGTAGAGATACCTAAACATCTTGACATTGACATGCAACAAGCTAACATGACTATAATGTCTAAGATGGTATTGATGGTGAAGCCATTGTTCTCTTCTGGATGTCCCTAAGTGCGTAACCTCTGCTCTGGAGACACCTGAAGCTAGCGTGATACCTAAAGTAGAGCACTTTATATATGTATACCATGCAGAAGGTCTACAACCTCTGCCACATTTTTATTGTTACTTGTGTCCCCATTGGGCAAGTCTCTCCTTGTTTCCTGTCCTCGTGGAGCCATTCACTTGTGTATTTGTGTCCAGGCTGCATGCAGACCTATGTGTCTGCATTTTCTTGTGTGTGTGGTTTTTTTTTTCTTGCTTTGAGAAGCGTTTATGTGTGCTGCCGTTCCGTGTTGTAGAATTTAAAAAATAGACATGAACTTTTACTGGCCAATGCATGTCAATGTATCCCATATATGTGAACTAGCACCATAGAATACAATGGCAAACCAGTGTGCGTGTGGTAACGTGTGTAGAAACACATAGGTGTTAAAGGGTTCATGGAGAAACCTTCACACAGTTCACATGGACAAAGTTCAATGTGTATACATCGTATAGAAAGTATAAGAGAAACAGAACATACACAAATGAAATATATTGATCTTATAAACATGAAAACAGTGACATGAACGGGGCATTATTGTTTGTTATTTCAGATGTCCCTGGGGTTCGACTGGAGGGAGACATTAAGCCATTGCTCGGCCGGAATGCAATGAAATGCAAGTCCTGTTTCTGGGGAAAATCAAAGCAGGGACTTGCTATCGTCCCATACGTCATATCATCTAACTATTGTAAGTTGGTCTCCCTATGGAATGAACTATCAGGTCTTCTGTCACCTTTTTATCCATGACTATGTAATAAGGGAAAGTGAATGTCTCTTCCTGTGCTCCCACAGCCCAGAATACACAGCTCAGAGCACACACAGCATATACAGCATAGAATGCACACATTATACACAGCACAGAATACAAAGCTCAGTGCATTGCTCTCCCGCACCGAAGGTAAGTGAAAAAAAAAACATAGGGCAAACATCGGGCATTTTGACAAGTACATTACTTGTCAAAATGCTCTGTTTTTTCCGCCCTCACCCTGCAGCGTCGTAAGGCGGCCGCCTGACTTGTCTTGCGGTAGCGCCGGGCCTGAGTGCACACACAGCATATACAGCACAGAATGTAATCATCATACACAGCATGGGGTACACACAGGATGCGCAGCACAGAGCACACACACAATATACAATACAGAGCACACACAGGATACACCGCACAGAGCACAAACAGGATATACAAGACAGAGCACATACTGGCTACACAGCACAGAGCACACACAGGATACATAGCACAGAGCACACACAGAATACACAACACAGATCACACACAGGATACATAGCACAGAGCACAATATGCCTCTTGACAGGCCTGTGAAGGTGATTTTACACCTATGCATCTGTGTTAACCTGCATTTTTGTATTGCGTTGGACAAGTATGTTGTCAGGCACTGCCATTCTTATACAGATCAAGAAATGGATGTGAACTTTTTTGGGCCAACACATGTCAAAGCATTGAAAACAACGACAAACCTCCACACATGCGTTACAACAACGAAATACATAGGTTTAAAGGGGCACTTAAACTTTTTTTTTGTCTCAACAGCTGAATATAGTAAATATTCGATTACATCTGCCATGTTAGAGTTTTCAACAATGACCTGCGTGCTCTTCACAGAGAGGACCAAAGAGCCAAACTACCTCAGTTTTGAAACAGGAAAAGGGTAAGCACCAAGTTTATAAGTGGCGTTCTGTTGTGTCTTGGCAGTCATTGTCGTTTTTATTTTCTTACTTATACTGTAGCCTTTGGAAAGTCAATTAGAATTTAATTGGGAAAAAGTCATAGTAGTCCGACAGGGGGTTTGGGTGATGAACGCTGAAATGGATGTTCTCTACTCCATCCTGTATCATGTTTGTAGATCATTCTTTGGGGCCAAGTCTACCAGCTTCGTCTAAAAATTCAGTACTGTATGTTTAATCCTGACATTATATTTGTGGGCTGGTTCCAATCTAAGGAAATGTCTTACGCCAAGAGCCACCAGTGTAGTTTGCCAACTACGTATGTATGTACAGCATGTATGTATGTTTTAATAATTTCATTGGTGTTTGTTCATGTGCAGCTGCTGGTCATATATTGGAAAGATAAATGGCGCACAGACAGTGAATCTCGATCCAAAAAGCTGTATGGGATATGGCGTAATCCAACACGAATTGATGCACTCATTAGGTTTCTTCCACGAACACAACAGAATGGACAGAGACAATTACGTGGACATCAAATGGCAGTATATATCACCAGGTTGGTGGATTGGGCAGGTATACATATGGTGTCCATGTGCCAAACCTCTTGTGCCTGTAGGCATGAGATATATAGCATCCATGTGGTTCTCATCAATCAATTTGGGGGCCTCTGTTGCAGCAATTGGTAGAAATAGGTGTCAACGAGTCAAGGCTATGATGCTGCAGGCACCAATCCTCCAAGTTAGCACCGAAGCAGACACTTCAGCTTTGCACAAGTGTGATTTGACACCGTTTAGGTGTCAATCACTAGGGATTACTGGGATAGCATTTAGAGAGCCCTCATTTGACATCTGTGCATATAGGTACTTAGTTGGTGTATATTTATAATTTTAAAGTGGTAAATTACAAATGTAGCTTAAAGGTGTCTTTTTAGAAACAATTTGCATAGCCCTTTTCCCTGTGAATAACTCTGAACATTCGTTCTGTGTGAATAATGGCGAAAACAAACACTCTTAATATATTTGCTTTTCAGGTTGAATGTATTGTGATGTAATACTGCATTATGGCCACTAAATAAAGCTGAGCAGCACAGGAAATACGCATTTCTTTTCCCCATGCTCTTCACCTCCATCTAGTGGCCATAATGCAGTAATACATCATAATACATTAGACCTGAAAATACTGTATATTGTGTGTGTTTTTGCCATTATTCAAACAAAATGAATGTTCACAAATATTGGCAGGGTGAAGGGATCTTTGAAATCATTTTCAGGTCTCGAAGTAATCCCTGCTAACCCCCGGTGTACAAATGACCTCCTATATTGGTGGTCAGTGCAAAGGTGTGTCCACCACCCAACCACCGTATTGGTGGTCAGGGTAGTTGGGAGATCAATTTACCAATGCATAAACCCCTGTCAACCTCAGGAGGAACCCTGGTTGACAAAGGCTAGTCTACCTGATGATAAAGTGAAAGCTGTACAGCATCTAATTGTCCCTTGTTAGGTATATATTGGTGGGTGGTATATATCAGTGGCTGCTGGTCTCCACACATCCTCCTCTTCAAAATCTCCCATCCAGGCTCTGCTTCTTCTACGCATGTACACCTCAATTTCCATTCATTACTACGCACCTCTTTCACAAAAGGACGCTGCCATACAATAACCTACCTGCCGAAAGAGGAGGCAATATATTTTCCTTTAGGGGGGCCCATTTCTTGAAATGCTGCTTCTTTGCTGCTCCCTGTTGTCTGCAAGTATTCAATCAGTCGGATGGATTGGATACATGTTACCCCTGCTGAACACACACTGTGGTTCCTCATAGCTCATTGTACTGATGATGTGTTTTACAGGAAATCAAGGGGATTTCACGAAGAACAATGGGAATACCATGAATCTCGCTTATGATTATACATCAGTGATGCATTACGGCAGGTAAGAGAAGACCATTTGGTATCCACTTTCAACTCTAGATGGGGAAAAATAACCTAAAGCATCAGTCTATTTTTATAATTTTTGGCAACTGTTTGAATTGCAAACTAGATCCCTGTGTATGTCATACATTGCAGTAGCAAAAGTAGGTCCTTTCTTCTGCTAGGGAGTCTCACACATTCTGATGCAACAGGAAAAGTTACAGCATAAAAAAGAGCACCCAATAGGGAAGGTGGGAACCCCATTAGGGATAGTTTTGGAAACTCAGGTCAAAGATCTGGTCACCGGAGACCTTGAGAGATATAAGAAGTTGCTGGGTGATTCAAATAGTCCACTCTACACCTGGTAGGAAAACTGGATATGTATGCAGCCTAAAGAATGTATACATTACTACTACTAATAATAATAATAATGATAAGATTATTGTTGATGATGATGGTGATGATTTTTAAACACAAAAAAGTTATTAGCAATGTATAAATAAAAATAATATTAAAACAGAATATATCCATCCAATATCTTTCCTTTGAAAATGCAGAGTTTGTACTGTGTCCTAAATCTTCATATTTCTTCTTATACTTCCAGCAAAACATTTTCAAACACATCTGGGCAGATGTCAATTGTACCAAAACCCAACCCTGATATTGCCATTGGGCAGAGAATCGGGCTCGACAGCAGGGATGTGGAGAAGATAAATGCGATCTATAATTGCAGTAAGTAATTTATCAACACTCAGGGGTCCTCAGAATTTCCAAAGGGCCAGTTCACTGTCCTTAAAAATTTAGAGAGCCAGGCTCTGGCCATTGAGAGTAGAGAATGCCCTGGTGTCAGTGCTAGTTAACAGTGCTCCAGGTTTGGTGAGCAGTGGGAATAAAATGTGGCTTAGAGACTGTGGCTAGTCAGAAAAGAAAAAATGTCCCATCAGTTGTGTCAGTGAGAGAAGTAGTTCCCCATTGTTGATGTTAGTGGAAGGAATGGTGTTTCTTAGTGGGTGTCAGTGGAAGGTATAGTGTCCCATCGTTGGTTTCTTTGGGGGAATAGTGTCCCATCGTTGGTGTCTTTGGGGGAATAGTGCCCCATCGTTGGTGTTAGTGGAAATAATAGTTCTCCATAGTTGGTGTCTTTGGGGGAATAGTTCCACATCATTGGTGTCAATGGGAGGAATAGTGTCCCATCGTTGGTGTCAGTCGGGAGAATAGTGCCCCATCATTGGTGTCAGTGGGAGGAATAGGGCCCCATCCTTAGTGTCAGTTGGAGCTATAGTGCTGTTTCCCTACTAGAGAGATTCCTCTTACCTACCTGTCAGGACAGGAATTGAAGGGAAATCTCTGCAATGGGGACACAGGCATAAACAAAAGCACATTTGTAGTAGAATGGGGAACAGGTTGAACATCTGACAATGTTTTATTGCTGTCTGCATCTAGTATTAAGTATTCTCTGTGACCTGGTGGAAGAGTGACTAAAAGGTGAGCATGTGCTCCCTAGGTGGGGTTGGGGCATTAAAGCAAACCTGCATGGGCACAGCACAGTGCAGATATTTACAGTCTTAGCTTCACCCCTGAGGATACAAATGTTATTTCCCTGACACTGTGACATTTGTGAGAATTGACAACACCGGCTCTGACAGTTGTTTATTGATACAGATCTATGCAGGAAAAAGTTGCTAGGTCCCTCAGGAAACTTCTCTTCCACTGATGTCACTCCCATCAACAACAATGACAACTGTCTATGGCTCCTACATGTTCCATCCGACCTGGTATAGTTTCAGTTTTCTCTATTATTTATTCTGTATTAAAATATGTAGCCATAGAACTGCGCAAACAAAAGCAGAACTGGTTATCTCATTGCTAATGTTCAAAACAAATCTTGTCTTAGTTGGTACCTCCTGGCTGTCTCCAGAATTGTCGGATTTGTACATATTGGGGGAAATAGTGAAGCAATGCAGAACCTTGGGGGAGGGGTGGGGGTTGGAAAGAAAGGGTGGAAAACACCTTCTAAAGCTGGCCATACACTGTTCTATTTAATAGAACAAATTCCTCCATCAACGCTTACGAGCGTTGATTGAGGCATCACTGATGTCAGAATACCTATATAGAGCTGGCAGCTCATTGGCTGCTGGCTGTGTACATTTGTATTTTTTTAAACCCGCTGCTTTGATCAGCTGAACGAGGGAAGCCGGCCAAAGGGTGCCAACCCACTGTGCAAATTTCCGGGCTGGTTTCTGAAGAACCAGACAAAATTCGAATGATGTATGGCTTGATTAAGCCTCTTAAATTTTGACGAGAGGGCTAGACTAAAGCTGGACATACAGTATACTATGTTCTTTGATAACCTGCTATGCAAACACAGCTCATTATGGCCTCTGGTTGTTACCAAGGAGCATAGGAACTTCCTTTGCTCCTCGGTTGATCATTTTTGGCCCGACTCCTTTGGCAAAAGTCTACTGAACTACAGTTCGCGATATACTGAGACTGCCGCAGCCGGGATGGATCCCGACATTACTGTCGAGATCCACCCAGCTGTGTGAGTGACAGCTAGCTCTGCCTATCTAGAGGCAGAGCCAGCTCTACCCGCCCACTCCCCTGTCTCACTTCCCGATCTATTGAGCCGACCTGTGACAGTTTCATTGTCACATGTCGGCTCGAACTATAAGGATGAGTGATTTTCACTCACCTCATAGTTCTCCTTTAAGAACCTGAGAGCTCCTTATACTTAAATGATATTATATACAAACTTTTCAAAACATTTTTAGATAAAGCAGACACAACAGGCAGTAAAAGTAACCAGAACAAGTGCCCCCACTTCAAAAATTCTTCTCTTTTCCTGTTTTGGTGATTTTTGGATTTTTATTCACTTTCCATTTTCTTAATGTGGTCACTGGGGAAAATAGAGAGGGTGAATCTCCTCAATGGTGAGATTCCTCTAAAGTAATAAAATCAGGTAGGATTTCTAACAACTCATCACTCTATTGCATAGTGTCTGTCAATGACCAGACCTGAGTCGTTAGCTCTCCCCCAACTCTGTATGTCAAAACTACAGATATTTCGATACACTGGGCTGGTTTACTGCAATACACTGCATGTTGTGCTGCACTACAATGGAGGTGCGTTGGGATGGTGCTTTAAGGTGCCATTCAGAATGAATAGCACTGCAGCACACCAATGCACGTAACAGACATCCATTGAAACAGACATAGCTGACCTAGATGTTTTTGTCTTTAAATCTCTCAGCGCATGCAGAGATTCCCTTTAAGTAAAAAGACATTTACAATTTTGCAGATCTTGCTGCAGTTTGGCCAGTTCGTTTGTTTGTCCGGCAAATGTAATGCTAAGATCAACGTGTACGACGGGGTGAGCAAGAACAGCACTCTGCTAGTCACGGTCAATGCAGGCCAACCTCTTCCAGTGCTGATCTCATCTGATAAATTCATGCTGCTGGAATATATCGCCGACACGCCTTCTCCAAGCAGTTTCAATGCGTCTTATAAAACAGGTATGTGCCCAACTAACATATGTATTATGTGGTCCATAAGCATTCAATCATTGTGCCTAGAGCTGGATATACACGGTTAGAATTACGTTTGAAAATAATCATTATCAAAACATTGTTTTGATGTTCTAACAGTTAATGGAGTCAAATTGGAGATCGATTTCCACATTGATTAAAAAAAATGAAGGACAAGGATGGAAATTTTTTCTGCAATGAACAAAATTCTTACAGTGAATGCGGTTTTCATGCAGGAAAACCTCCATTGATTCCCAAAATCGCATGTTAAAATTAATCTTTAAATTTCAAAGGACATTTGTCAAGTCTCCAATGGCATTATCGAATGTTCTGACCAGATTTTTCATATAAATGTTAGTACAAAAATCTACAGGTGTATGGGCCTCATTCACACGGTCTATAAGCTCCAACAGAATTAGTGTATCTCTCTAATAGGGCCCCAGATTGCAGTACACTTTAAGGTGTTGCTCACACAAGCTATTCAGGCAAACATGCGGCAAATATCAGCGTATTCCTACATTTGTGTTCATTAGTGATTGAGGACAGTTGTCGCCGCTCAGCCTGTACAAATCAATGGCAGGCTGACAGGCTCTGCAGCTTGCCAATGCTGTTCAGATCTATCCCCACCCTCCAACGGCTACATGTGGTTAGGGACAGATGATCAACCCTGGATGCAGACAGATTGCGTCCAAGGTTGTGTATCTGTCCCTAACCACTTGTAAGTGCTAGATGTGTGGATACATGCCTGTCATTAATTTATACAGGCTGAGTGGCGGCAACTGTCCACAACCACCTGTGATCACAAGCACAGGAATATGCTGATTCTTGCCAAAATGTTGGCCCACATAGCCCGTGAAAATGAGGCCTTAAAATGTGGTAGACACTTGGAAGACAGTCTCATAGAAGTCTATGGAGAGCTGCGGGATTGTCATTACAGAAGAGGACTACTTAAGAATATATTTTATAGATATTGTGTTTATAAGCACATTAACAGAAACCTGCCATAGGAGAAATATGGAGTTTGCAATTGTACAATTCAACATGTATGGATAATCATCAGATTTGGCAAAGTCTTCTGGGAGAGGCAGCCGGCCAATCACAGCCAATGTAACTCCGAAAATTACCATGCCGCATCTAATGTAGATTTGTCTGTTTTATTTACAGTGGTGTATGGAGGCACTTTTACCAAAAATCGAGACTATGTTGAGTCCCCAGACTACCCCTTCAACTATTACAACAATCTCCAAGCCATATATGTCATCATTGCTCCTCCGGGTAATCGAGTGAGTATAAAAGAGACATTTACAATGGAGAATGTTCCTTCTAAAATGTCAAAAGCTCTTTTATTGCATTATTTTTGCCCTGTCCAATGTATTAGTACAGTAGAGCAGTGGCTCACAATACGCTTTAGGATTGTCTTTTTAACCCCTGTAAAGGCTCATGTCAATGGACCTTGCTTTTCTGCATTTAACATGCTCAATGTGGGTCAGCAATATCCTATTGACTTTAACGGATTAGTACATGAAGCAGTTCAGAGGACGCATTTGACCTGCTTTGCCTTATGCTGCAGTTTTTTTAGACACAACTGAAGGCTCCTGTATGACAATCTTAACAAGTACCCAATACAGATACTGTGTGATGCACAATGCTTGTGAAGTAAACAACCTTCCCTGATGGAGCCAAATCCTCCTTTATTTGTGTCTCACACGCTCCCGCTCCCAGACACTGCAAAATAATATCTGAATGGGGGCAAACTTTTAAAGCAGTGAATGTTACATTCACCAAACATACATAGTGAATTGATCACTGTACTCTAAAACTCATGCACCAGGAAGATACTCTTGCAGTGAATGTTTGGAGAGTGTTGCATTCACTGCTTTCTAAATATACATATATAACCAGTCCTGCAATAATGTATCATTTTTCAGGTGTTGCTGAACTTCACTGACTTTGACTTAGAGTCATCTACCAAATGCATGAACGACTACCTGACGGTTAGAGATGGTGGTAACCTCACTGCGCCGGCCCTGGGTGTTTACTGCGGACACAAATCCAACTTCATCGTAACCTCCAGTGGGCCAATGGTGGTGCTCCAGTTCTCCAGCAATTCCAAAGTCCAAGGACATGGGTTCCATGTAGATTATTCTTTTGGTAAGTTGATGCTCTGACTCTCTTTCAGTTGTGATTTATTAACATGGGCTACACCCGCATAATTCCAGCCTATAACATACATGAGCTATCCCACTGTACATAATTCCAAACTAAACCTTACATAGGCTATATAAAAAAAACTTCATTCCAGCCTAAATCTTGCTTGGGTTATGCAAGAACACATAATTCCAGTTTAAATCGTACATGGGTTACAGCAAAAACATCATTCTAAAGTAAATCTTAAATGTGTTATATCAAAAAACATAATTCCAGCCTAAATCTTACATGGGCTGCACCAAAAAACAATTCCAGCTTAAAGGAGGACTATGAGGTGAGTGATTTCCACTCATCCTCATAGTTAGAGCCAACCTGTGAAAAATAAGTTGTCACAGGTCGGCTCTATTGATCGGGAAGTGAGCAGAAACATGCAGCTGATCCGCTAACTTCCCGATCGTCTCCTTGCAGTGAGCGGTGACTGTCAGTCATAGCTCCCCACAGGGATTCCCCCCTCCCCTCTCCGATCCCCCAACGCTGAGTGGAGTAACGAACGGGGGAAGGGGCGGGCACAGCTGGCTTTGCCTCTAGATAGGCAGAGCCAGCTGTCACGTAGCTGGGTGGATCCAGACAGTATTTGTCGGGATTCCGTCCCGGCTGCGGCGCTCTCAGTATAACCCGCGATATATTGAGCTTTTGGGTCAAGGGAGGAGGTTAGTATATGTCCTCCCCTGAAGATAACTATGAGGAAAAACACTTACCCCATAGTTCTCTTTTAAATATTACATGGGTGGCCATAATGTAATATTACAACACACTACATTTGAACAGGGAAACGCTCCATCTAGTGGCCATAGTGTAATATTACAACACCACATTCCAATAGAGAAAAGGTATATTAACAGCATTTGTTTTTGGCATTATTCGTCCATAATTTAACTTCACATATATTCGCAGGGTGAAGGGCCCTGCAGATTGTTTATAAATAGTCCCTTAAGTGTCCTCATGGCCGGATGACCATTGGGTTTACATATACTTTGAATATATGATAAAAACGTATAGAGTTCTGACCGGATGTAAAACCTTCAGCTTAAATATATAGTTGTGTCTGTATTCAAACTTATCTCCGTGTAACCTCCCCTGCATCTTCTTCAAGAATTTCCCATATTGCAGGCACATCTGAAATGTATTTTACCATTTTTATCATTTCAGTGTCCGCGAACTGAAGAGTTCAACTACCGATAAAGGAGATTGCTGTCTTTTGATGAACACAAATGACCCCAAGCTAGACTTGCTGAAAACGTCTTTCATTTCTGCGTATGCACCGCCCCCATCCACGAGTGATATTTCCCTAGGCGCTACTGATTATTGATGAGCCGAACACCCGCGAGTTCGGTTTGAATTTGAACTTTCAAACATGGAAAAAGTTTGAATTTGAACTCAAACTCAATGAAAGTCTATGGGACCAGAACTCTGAGAATCAAATGTCCCCTTTTTGAAGGCTTATATGTAAGTTATTGGCTATAAAAAGGGGGTCCGGGGACTGCCCTGGGGGACAGGAATCAATGAAAAAAACACTTTTAAAAAATACAGTTTTTAAAGGAGCAGTGATTTTAACATCATACAGATTTGCCACTTTAAGTGAAACAATAAAAATGAAAAATGCCTTTAAATATCGTGCCCGTGGGGTCCCCTTGCACTGCCTGTAAAGTGTCAAATCTGTATGATGTATAGAACCTGCTGCAGCAAAAATGGTGTGCGGTTCCCCCTCCCAAAGAGTAACAGACCCTTTAGGTCTGGTAGAAATGTTAGGAGGAACCCCATTTTTTTTTTAAAAGTGTTGGATTCCCCCCCAAAAGTCATAACAGACCCTTAACGTCTGGTAGGAATTTTAGGAGGGACCCCATGTAAAAAGAAAAACAAAAAAAAAGTGTGTGGGTTTCCTCCTTAAAGTCATACCAGGCCCTTAAGGGCTGGTAGGAATTGTAAGGCAGTACCCCACTGCCATACCAGATCCATGATCCGAGTCGTTACCAGCCCACATGCCCTCGGCACTGGGAGGGTTGCCCCTGGAAAAGCGCCTTGTCCCTGTGCCGATGGGGACAAGGGCCTTTTTCCCACAAGCCCCTCCCAAATGCACCCCCCCTTGTGAATGAGTAAGGGGTACCCCTACCCATTCACTAAAGGGTTAAATAAAATTGTATAAAAGAGTCCAGACTTTTGAAAAAAATCCTTTGTTTGAAAAAAAAAACCAAAAGACAAGATTTTGACAAGTCCTTTATTTTAAAAATAATGATTCACGATGACTCGAAGAAATGAAAAAAAATTTGTTACATAGAAATAATGGCAAAAAAAACCGACGACCGCCGTCCCGTTCACTTGCAACGAACAGCCGGCGCAGAATGGCATTTTGACAGATGCCGGCAACACATAAACAATTGGGCGGAGCTAGTAGTGACAGCTAGCTCCGCCCAACTGTTTACAGTTGTAACAGGTGAGTCATGATTGGACAAAGTAATCATGACTTTGCCCAATCATGGCTCTTACAGAGTACTGGGCCCTGATTAGGCAAAGTGTTGCAGGTGCAAGACTTTAGCCAATCAAGGCTCACAAAGCACAGTGCCTTGGGGAGGGCTCGGCGGGCAAACAGCCCGCTGAACGCCCTCACAGTTCGTGTGTTCGAACACGTGAACTGACGATGTTTGAGTCGAACACCGAGCCCATGCCCAGGGATCCCAACCTGAAAGAAGCCATTTCAGGGAGGTGTCCTTCTCATTTCAGGGAGGTGCCCTCTACGCTCCCCCCCCCCCATCAGCGGAGGGGGGTTAGGGGGGCTGGGAGAGAGCGCACCCCTGAAATGATGGCAGATAGCACAGGAAGCAATAGCTTCTTTGCTATCTGCAGGTTTTTTTTCTGATTTTGTTTTTAGTATTCTGACAGTTGCAGTCATCAGAATATTTAAAAAAAGGCATAAGAATGCATAGCTAGATTCCTATTGGCTATTGCACTTTGCAATAGCCAATAGCAAACTAGCTATTGCACCCGCCCTCTGCTGCTTTCAATCACCAGAAGAGGACCTGATAGAAAAATTCAGGTCCCCCTCTGCTGATTGACAGCAGCAGTGGGCGGGTACATTACCTAGTTTGCTATTGGATATTGCAAAGTGCAATAGCCAATAGGAATCTAGCTATGGATTCGTATGCCTTTTTTGTTTCTTTTCTGACTGTCGGGCCGTGGCTCCCGATGTCAGAAAAGAAAAAAAAAACGATCGCTGGGAAACGTTTATCTGCTCGATCCCGCCCGGGAGGAAGTGTTTCTCTCCCGGGCGGCCGGGAGCCGCTATCCAATAGCGGGAGACTCCCGGACCATCCGGGAGAGTTGGGATGTCTGCATGCCTGCTAGTGATTTGAATGATTTGTTTCTTGTTTCTCTGGTAGACTCCAATGGGGAGGTAATACTAATAATAATAATAAGAAGATATGGGAGGAGTGAGGGAGGAAACCTTATTTAGCCGACTCCATTTCCTCTGTCAGCAGCTTAAAGCTGTCAGGAAAGATGGATAAGACTAAAATTGTATGGTACCTAAAGCTGGCCACACACATTAAGTCTTCTCAAAATGTTTCTATTCCTCCATCCAGGCTGAACAGGGAATGTCCCCTGCAGACTATTGTATTCTGACAGCTGATGCCCGTGGCTGTCAGAATGTATGAAAACTGACAGCAGCTGATTGGCTGTCACCACTGTTTGGGTAACAATTTAAAAAGCAAATTTTGTGGAACCCGTCGGCTGGCAGGGCCACCCACTGGTTCAATTTTCGGACGATTCAGCAGGAAATGGATGACGTTTGATCTGTGTATAGCCAGCTGAACCTTGTAATATATTTGCTTGTTTTTCATATGGTTATTTTAGCTAAAACTTCCTCTGATTTGTTTTATAAACATGGAAAATAATAATTTTAATAAATGTTATTCATAACAGTAAATATTTTTGGTTTTTCTAATTATTGTAAAGGGATTTTCTAACTCTGCGTGTGTGTGTGTGTGTGTAGGTGCCTGCAGTCCGGTGTGATCAAAATAGTACTTGCAGCATTTTGATCGCACCGCAGGCACAATGTGCCTTGCAATCTCGTGTGGCCAATCGCATTGCGGCCGGAGGGTGTGGCTACGCTGCCATTCACTTCAATGGCCCGCCATGCCCCCTGCTGCCCCACAAAAAATAGAGGCGGCCGCAATGTGATGCAGTGCGTTCTGGCCAGATTCTGGCCAGAACGCACTGCATCTGGTGTGAACGAACCCTAAGTAATGCCAAGTGCAGGAGTCAGTATTATTTAACACAGAGTTTGGGGGTCAGAAGAAAATAATGCAGAGTGCAGAGGTCAGTAGGAAGTAATTCAGAGTGTGGGAGATGGTGTTAAGACAGGGTGCAGGGGTGAGGAGTCATTAATGGAAAAATGCAGGGGTCAGAAGTAAGTAACACAGAGTTCAGAGGTCAGTAGTAAGTAACGCAGAGTTCAGGAGTAAGTAATGCAGAGTCTGGGGATCATGAGTAAGCAATGCAGAGTTCAGAGGGCAGTAGTAAAAAAACACAAAGTGGAGGAGTCAGTAGTAAGTAACACAGCGTGAGGGGTGAGTAGTAAGTAAAGCATAGCGGAGGGATCAATAGTAAGTAAAGCATAGTGGAGGGATCAGTAGTAAGTAAAGCATAGTGGAGGGATCAGTAGTAAGTAAAGCATAGTGGAGGTGTCGGTAGTAATTAACACATAACTGTCGGGTCAATAGTAAGTAATGCAGAGTTGGGGGGGTCAGGAGTAATTAACGCAGAGTTCAGAGGTCAGTAGAAAGTAACGCAGAGTGGAGGGGTCAGTAGTAAGTAATGCAGCGTTCATGGGTCAGTAGTAAGTAATGCAGAGTGGAGGGGTCAGTAGTAAGTAATGCAGAGTTGGGGGGGTCAGGAGTAATTAACGCAGAGTTCAGAGGTCAGTAGAAAGTAACGCAGAGTGGAGGGGGCAGTAGTAAGTAATGCAGAGTTGGGGGGGTCAGGAGTAATTAACGCAGAGTTCAGAGGTCAGTAGAAAGTAACGCAGAGTGGAGGGGGCAGTAGTAAGTAATGCAGAGTTGGGGGGGTCAGGAGTAATTAACGCAGAGTTCAGAGGTCAGTAGAAAGTAACGCAGAGTGGAGGGGGCAGTAGTAAGTAATGCAGAGTTGGGGGGGTCAGGAGTAATTAACGCAGAGTTCAGAGGTCAGTAGAAAGTAACGCAGAGTGGAGGGGGCAGTAGTAAGTAATGCAGAGTTCAGGGGTCAGTAGTAAGTAATTCAGAGTGGAGGGGTCAGTAGTAGGTAATGCAGAGTGGAGAGGTCAGTAGTAGGTAATGCAGAGTGGAAGGCTCAGTAGTAGGTAATGCAGAGTTCAGGGGTCAGTAGTAAGTAATGCAGAGTTCAGGGGTCAGTAGTAGATAATGCAGAGTGGAGGGGTCAGTAGTAGGTAATGCAGAGTGGAAGGATCAGTAGTAGGTAATGCAGAGTGGAAGGGTCAGTAGTAAGTAATGCAGAGTTCAGGGGTCAGTAGTAAGCAACGCAGAGGTGGAGGGGTCAGTAGTAAGTAATGCAGAGTTCAGGGGTCAGTCGTAAGCAACGCAGAGTGGAGGGGTCAGTAGTAAGCAACGCAGAGTGGAGGTGTCAGTAGTAAGTAATGCAGCGTTCAAGGGTAAGTAGTAGGTAATGCAGAGTGGAGGGGTCAGTACCATAGCACGAATTCCCCCACTATATACACACATAGCTACAATGCACCAGTTGCTGATCCCCACTACATAACATGGCCAGGCTTCAAGTATTTTTTTTTTTCTATAAAGTCAGTGAGGTCAGAGGTCAGGAGAGCATCACAGAAAAATCTGCAGGTCATTTTCCGATGTAGGCACTGCACTACAGTGAAATGCGGTACTCCTCCTTAGTGATGAGACGTTCAGTATATTGTGTTGTATGAATACACTTGCCATATTATTACATCAGGTGACTCGTGTTCTTTCTATCAGTATTGATTTCATTCTATCTAATGTCCCGTAACTGATATAGAGCTGCCCACACCCTGAGGAGTCTTTGTTATTATGCATTTTTTTTAAAGGGAAACTATAATAGCTGCAGTACTATTATATTCCGTGTTTGTGAACCTTTCCATTCCCCCAGCATGTGAACACAGCCATACCTTCTAAAGCTACTCCATCAGACATACTAATTTCCCCATAATGTGGAGGCTAAAGCTGGCCAAGGACACGTAGATTCCCTTTACTTAGCCTGTGGGCTGAACAAAAGGAATATAACAGATTCTTCCACCATGATAAACAGCGTGGGTGGAGGAATTTCCCCTGCCAGGCTATTGTATTCTGATAGCCGACATCAGCATTTGTCAGAATACCCAATCATTGAGGGCAACTGATTGTCTGCAGTCACAATTGGGCCGACAGTTTTCCACTCCGATTCTTTAACAAAAGTAGATTTTTCTTGACGAGCCGGGTGGTGCCAATAGGGCAAGCCACAGCTCAAATTTTGGCCAGTCAGCAGGAGTCAACCAAAATTCGAGCGTTGTATTGGCAGCCTAAACAGATTATACAGCGCCATTAGAATTATGCAAATTGTGACTTTTCTTTTCAATAGTTAATAGTAACACCCTACAATACAAATTACTAAACCTGAGATTGTAGTCCATCACAGGAGCGAGCTTGGAGCGGTGACTACTTTGCAACACACACACACAGGGACCATGGGGAACAAAAGTAGCCCCCCTTCAGAAGGAAGGACAGTGTCAGCACCAACTTAGAGATGAATTGATGATCTACAGCCGAGTACTATTTTTGCTACGCTGAGCAGTGCGGTTTCCATACAGGTTTCAATGGAACCGCGCTGACACACAATTAAAAATTCCCGAAAATCTTCCTTTTGAGATCAGCGTGTTAGACGCACTGATCCGCAACCACCCTGGTGTGAATGGGCTCCAAATGTTCCACATGTTACTTATTCACACAACTCATTATCGGGATATTATGTTTATATATGATGTTTCCACTATATAATTGTGCACTATATAAATGCATAGACTTAGACTTATGTATAATGATGTTTTATTAAGAAAGATATTAAAGGAGAACTATGGGGTTAAGGCTTTCCCCCATAGTTCTCCTTAGGGTAACAGGAGGACACAAACTAGCGTCCTCCTGTCACCCTAAGCTCAGTATACCGCGAGCTACGGCTCGCGGTATACTGAGACGCCGCAGCTGAAGCGGATCCCGACAATTATGTCTGGATCCGCCCAGCTGCGTGAGTGACAGCTGGCTCTGCCTATCTAGAGGCAGAGCCAGCTGTAGCCGCCCCCTCCCCCATCCATTCCGCCAGTCAGCGCTGGCGGATTGGAGCTGGGAGGGGGGAATCCAGCCCCACCTCTGTCACGGCAGAGGCTGTGACAGGATCGAGAAGTGATCGAGCGCCGGTATGTGTTCGCTCACTTTCCGATCTACTGAGCCGACCTGTGACAGTCTCATTGTCACAGGTCGGCTAGAACTATGAGGTGAGTGAAAAGCACTCACCTCATAGTTCTCCTTTAAGCTAATTAACATAAAAGAAGCTTGACAATGTGATACAGCAGGGATCATCAATTTTCTATATACCACTAGTACAGACAAAGGACAGGTCCACTTTATTCAGTTCTTTATTATTTAGTGGTAATCAATTCTTGAAACTTTCACCATTAAA